GAAGCTTAAAAAAGTGGAGAAGATAGTTTTTCAATATCTCTGTTTGTTCTTGTATCTATTCTGTGGGATCTTCAAACAAATTGGGGAGATAAGGAGTTCAAATTGCATTCGTTGAAAATTCAACAGTTTCTTGGAAGGATTTATGTAAAGATTCCAATATCTTGCGAGGTTGAAAACAAGTACTAAAGAATGCTTTTGCGAAGCGCGAGGTACTTCACATGTAATTGAATCTACTCAGTTTAATGTTGTTAAAAAAATGTAATATTATACATTTTTCCATAATTCGTATTTTCTATTTGGTAGTTTGGACTACATATTCCATGAGTTTGTACATGGACATAAAATACCTGAGTATTTGGGAGGATAACAAAAGTTATTATAAGTGATTAAAAGTTATTATTATTTAAGGCTCGGTCGTATTTTGTTTACATTTAATCATTTTAGCTTAAAATACATTAAAATTTGGGATCAAATTTGTGTTGCGGGAAGCAGTTGAGTAGACATAAAAAAATAATGAAAAAAAAGAGGAAAAATTATTGAAGGGCGCTAAAGAGCGATATTGTTTAAAACGGATCTATCAAGTTTGCTAATAAATGATAAAAAATACGTAGCTGACCATGATGTGACACATTGCATTTGTGGCCGCAATTATATATCAGATATATATACATATATATACATCTATCCTCGGGTCTTAAAGGGGATTACTATTTTTCAAAACTTGACACGTGAAATTTGACACTTTATCATTTGGAATTCTCAATGAAAACGATGGAATTGAAAATTTGGATGGCATTGTAATAGTTTGTTAGGACCTTCAAAATGATATATAATGTAACGCCACAAGTCACATAGAATGCTACGATAATTAGCAATAAGTGTGAATTTTAAAACGTGAAAAAATCGTTAAAAATGGAAAAGCTTCAACAACTCTACCAAAATAAAAATAAAAATAAATAAAAATAAACCGATATGTGATCATATCGAAAAATACGAAATATTCTTTAAAATCATATATAAATAATATATCTATTCACTTGCTTTAGAAGTATATAAAAAATCAAACAAAAGTTGAAATTTAACATAAAAATCATGTTTTCACATTCAAACGTCACAAGTCTATAAAAAATTATGGAAATTATCTAGCACCTCTATTCTTTCAAGGTTATTCAATTAGCTTTCATTTAAGTATAGAATATATTAGCTGGATACAAAAGGTAGCGAGGAATCATCGGAAAAACCGAAAAGCGAGAGCGTTTCAAATATGAACCGCCAGATTTACTTATGGAAATATTTTAGAAGGAAGAATTAAAAATGTAGGTCATCTGGTGTTATATCCCAGCGAAAATTTGCCGAAGTAATCAATGAGAGTGTGTATTTTCGACCCTAGAATCCCCGTGAATCCCGATATATCCGCCAAAAGCTCAAATTTATTTTCGTTGATTCACGGATTCAACGCATCCTTTGACGTTTTTTGGTCTATTTTTGGAGATATATCGGAAATTTGTTGAACCGAGTGGGTGAAAATAGTTTCAACGGAAAGCCAAGGGAATTTCTAATGGGAATGCATGGATTCTATAGTCGTACTAAATTTGAGGGAGTTTAAACTCTGAAAGATATTTCAAATTTTTTTTCGCACAAGCATTTTTATAGTCCATGGATGCTTCAATATATTTTTCAACGTCAATGTTAGAATATTTGAGTACAAATCCTCCATTGTTGTACAAAAACTACTCGACAAAGATTTATAATATACTGGAAAAATCCTTATCATGAAAGCAGAGATACGTAAATGAAGTTCGCCTGAGTCGAAACTCGTAAGACTGATTCCGTATTGGTCAACTCGAATCCGAAGTCGAAATTCGAATTCGGCGGACAGAGTGCGCAGTAGATCTCGTGGTCACAGAAAAG